GGTGTGTTATTATACTGCAAAACAGAAAGCAGACCGTGATCTTGAAGCAAAGGTTAGGTTTTTTAAAAACTAATTTAACTTCATAAAAGTTTTATGAAAAATTTACTATATTTGTTCTCATTTTTCTAATTTCTCCTTGGACCAATATAAATTGCATAATGACAGGGTCCTGGGGGCTGAGACAATGTCACTGGGAAAGACACAACAAGGAGCAGAAGAACTGGGACACTCGGAGCAAGCGTTCCTAGATGACCAAGGGGATCCTGCTTCTGACTGAGTCTCAGGAGCCACTCCACATAACTTCTACCACATTCTGTTGATTACAAGCAAGACATGAGGCCAACCCAGGTTTAAACAGGGATGACGGGGTCAGCAGCAACCGAGGCCTCGTGGAGCAAGCTGGCTCTCCAAGGCAGGCACTGCTCAGCGGCTCCTTGCTGCTGCTGCACCCCGTAGCTTGCCCACAAACTGCACTGTGTGCGTGTCTGTGCGTATCTAGGAAGGCGCTTCCCGACCTTTTGCTGTCTCTGGCCGATGTAGAAAATGACAACATTGGGATGGCACACTGAGGTATCAGATGGGGCTCTGCACAGCCAAAGCCGACTGGCCCGGTCCTTAGGTACCCCTGGGACAAGGAGTATCGATACCTTGGCACGCCCATGGGAAAACATCTACTCGAAGGGTGAGTGGGAAGACATGAGCCTCCATTACACATTTCGAGTTCTTTCAGCTGGCAAAGGGCAAGCGCCTGGGCTTGCCTTGCCCTTTTGCTCTAGGGGAGCCCGGCTCTGCGTACCCCTCAGCCCTGATTACCGGCGCTATCCTCCTGTTGTGGCCTCCGCTCTACTCACAGCCTCCTTTCCTACCGCACCCTCATCCTCCTTCACACCCCGCTTTCTCCCCCAAGCATATCACACCCTGGGCGCCGCTGCGCTTGTATTGTGTGTGAACGTTGCACTAGCCCCTAAGCTCCCAGGCGCTTCTCTTCCTCTGTCAGGCCAGCCCCTCTGCCAGGGGTGCTCAGCCCGCCGTCCCTCCGCTCAGGCCTCCCTTGTCTGCGAACACTGCCTAAGGCCACCATCACACTTTGATATGTATTAATATTATTGGGGGGGTGCTGTGTGTGAGAATATCTTTGTGGTCCCTGATTTCCTATCTTGCCCATAGTAGGTGCTCAACAGTTGTTTCTTAGATAACTTCCAGTTAGCAGAGCGACTCCACTCATATCGCTGGTGGTCACTCTTGAGTCCGGATTCTCCATTTCCCAGGGAACTTGTCTTGTGGGTCATTCCATGCTCTGCCTGGAGCCATGCAGCCCCGATGAGACACATCCTCCTTCCCCGCACCCCCGATCCCCCTCCCCCGCTGCCCCTCACAGCTCCGGGATTAGCAGGAGGCTAAGTGTGGTGTGACAAAGAGAAAAGGTGGCTGCAACTCAGCCTCAGACCAGGCTCCCCTCATTCACACACCAGCCTGCAGTAGCCAGGTTTGGCCACAAGGAGCTCTATGCGGGGACTCTGCGCCCATCAAAGGATGGCTGGGTGAGAACATGTCCTGCCCAGAGGAACAAGGAACCGCTCAGGGGGCCTCTCCTCTCTGAGATCTGCACGCACAGGAGCCCCACAGCCCTGCTGGCTGGCTTTTCCTGATGTGTTACCCCTTAGCCATCTAGAAGATACTATGCTATATCTTGACATAGTCCTCTTGGCTTTCCCATGAGTCTCTCTTCTTGCTACCCCTTTACTGACCAATAATCACCACAGAGGAAGACACCTCCGCTTTTTTCATTTCCACCTCCTTTAGATGAGTGCTGAGCCCAAACCATGAGCCAGCTCCCTGTTCTCCAGGGTGTGGGATGGAAAATGGTCCTCTGCCATCTCTTCAGCATCCCTGAGTCTGTCCAATCCTGTCTCCCCAATGCTACCCAGGGTTCGGGGCTCCCCTCCTCTGACCAGGGTTAATGCTTCTTGGAGCACCCCCTGTCTCCAGATGGTCCCCTGCCCGTGAACTCTCCACCCTGGAGCTAGAGCAATGTTAATCCCATTAGGTGTTGGCCTTCAGTGACTCCCCAGATCCCGGACATTCACACAACACTCCAGCCCCACCCCCTCCCCCCGGCCCCCACCGCCCGGGGTCCAGCTGCCTGATTCTCCAGCTTCATGGCTGCTTCTCCCCTTGCCGTCCAACCCACAATACTGAAATACTTGCAGTTGCTTAACACAGCATGATGTTTCAAGCCTTTGGACTTTGCACACGTTCTTTCCCATGGCTTGACGCTCCCCCGACCCTCTGCTGCACCTCCTCCGCTGTCCCCCTTGCTCCCCATATTCCCTCCACCTGGCAGAGCCCTATTCATCCTTAAAACTCCCAATTCCTCCGAGAAACCTTTCCTCACCCACAGCTCCTCCCCTTGTCCTAGAGCCCCTCCTCTGAATGGATCCTGTTCCCGAAACACGAGTCTCTCCCCGTGTCTGTCACTCGGAGTTGTAATAATTACTCACCACCGTCCTGTTTCCTCCCCCATCTCTGTACCTCCCTATGGGACCCCCGGGTGGCACACAGTAGGTGCTGCATGAAAGCTGTTGCCCTGCGGTTGCTGTCTCTGCACCCTCTCCTCCCGCCTTGAACAAGCCCTTTAATCGCTCTAATTCCTGTTTGCTGATCTGCAAAGTGGAGCGATGTAAGAATCAGAAGGGACATGTGTATTAAAAAATATAAAAGAATGAGTGCTATGCACGTGTATTTATTGCATTTTTTTCCTTCCAGATTAGTGTTTACCTGCCCTTGTCTATGTGGAAATCATAAGATGAAAGCAACGTGATGGGATTTTTTTTGGTAATTTCTGCACCTTGAGTCCAGGGAAAAGCTGGTCAGGAGTAAACCATTAATTCTGCCTCCCTGAGGCCCCCAGTCTTCTCGGAAGCTCTGGGTTAATGATTCTGAGGTTGTTTTCTTCACAGGGCCAAATCGTATCTAACCTCCGGCACTTCCCGTTCTTTCTTAAGAATAGCTTGACTCAGTCTAATAATTCCCCGTCCTGGAGTAAGGAATCTGTCTTACCAGAGAAACAGGGGATGTGTATAGCCCCCTGCTGCGCCCCTCCCCGGGCCTACCCTTCCCTCACCAACACCGCCCCCCACCCATGATGAGGAGACCACCCCACCCCCAACCCATGATGAGGTCTGTGAAAGTCACAAACTGAAGATCCAAGCAACAAGGATGCTGTGACCTAAGTTATAACTCCCTTCATGTGAAGTTTGAGGATTTGTTTTTGGAACTCTAGAAGGAGAAAGTTCATGAAGTTGTGATATAGAGAAACCATTCTGAGCCTGGCTTTCAAAAGTGTGCTTAGCGGCCGGGGGAGGACTGGGCTGCAGAGGCGGCCCCCGTCGTCGGGAGTCGGCGAGGAATTCCAGGCGGGTGGTCTGTTTATGGCTGCAGTGCAGGTCATGCCAGAGGCTGGGGACAGAAGTCTGGGGGCCAGACACAGCTCCAGGGTGGTCTGGGCCTTCTTGAGATAAGGCCCACTAAGGGCTGTGTGCTGGTTGTGTGCCTGCTGTGTGCTCACTGGGAGCTCACTGGAGTTTGAAAACCAGCTAGCCCTCTGCCCCGGCAACCGTACCTCGCCTCCCCTCAAGCCAGTGAATCTGGTGCTCATCTCTGCAGAGCTTTGGAACCTGTTGGTGAGGATGCTGGTGTCTCAGGCTCTTGTGCCGGCCTAGTCTCCTTAGACTTGTTTGCTCTGCCTCCTCCGCACACCGGAGACAGGGCCACGTGTGAAGTGGGCAGATGCAGTTTACCTGCCCTGAGCCTTGGCGTTCTCATCTGTCAAACGGGATATCATTCCTTCCTTTCCTAATAACCAAACAGAGGTTCTTGTAGTAATTCATCTAGAATAAATGTACTTTAAGGAGACTGGACCTTTCAGATATACCACTTTTGTGCATACCTCAGAGTGAAAATATAGGAGAAGGCATTGGTTGGAGTATCTCTGAGGCAATAATTTCATCACGACTGCCAGGGTGATTATCTCTGATTTCAGAGTATTACTATGTGGAAAAGAAAACCAAACAAACAATGCCCATGTACCCACTGCCTTGCTTAAGAAACAGAACAATTCCCAGCAGCACTGAGAGCCTGCACTCACCAACTTGACCTCTTAACTCCCCACCTTAGAGAAAACCATTGTGCTGAATTTCATATCTACTGCTCTATTTTTGACTGGTTTTAGCAAACATGTACCCTATACAGTGTATGGTTTGAGCTTGTTATTGAACTGTTCTCTAAGTGGAATTATACTCTATTTTGAGACTTGTTTTTTTAAAAAATTAAAGTTTACCTATACGAATATCGTACTGTATTATCAATTCTGTTGTTGGAAATTTGGGCCATTTCCAGTGCTTTGCTATTACATTATTTTTGCTAGAAATATCCTCATAGGCTTCCCCAAGGACACCTAGGAACGGATTGCTAAGTCGAGCTGAGAACGCCCCCTGGTCTGACTGCCCGCAAATGCTGGTGCACCTGCTCCCCTTCCCTGAGTAGCCCGGGGGGGTGTGAGTCCTGTTCTTCCTTTGACTATGCACCTTGGTTGGGGGAAGAAATCTTTATAAAAAGGACAGGGAGATGGTGGCAGTAGAGCTTCCAGGCCGTGGCCTGACTTCCAGCCATGGCCCTGGGGAGCAAGGCCAGGAAGGGGGGAGGCGAGGCGGAGCCCACCTGTGAGCCCTGCCCCGCAGCAGTGAGGTGGGGCTGCCCTTGGGCGGCCACTGGGGTCTCGGACTGCAGCACAGTGGACCTCACAGAATCCACTGTGAGGTCACTACCAGACCATAGGACATAGAAATTCAGACAGAAAGCAGCACTGTATCAACTGTCTTCAGATTACATCAATCTTTATTTAAACTGCAGGAAGGAAAGCTGGAATAGGCTCTCCAGGGACCCTCCCTGGAGCCCAGGTCCCCTCGGCAGCTTCTAGTTCTGCGTTCTAGCAAGAGGGGTCAAAGGTCCCGTGTATCCCTGATCTCAGGTGCCACGCTACCGCTCTTCTCCTGCCCCTGCCCATCCTCTCCTGTGTCTGTGATGGCCTCCGTGCTGTTCCTCTGTACTGTCTTAGGCAAATCATCCACGTCCTTACCGTGCGGTGAGGCCGCTGTTTTTGTAGTCAGATTGGCTTTGACCGTCCTCAAGAAAGAGCTGATCCTGCTGAGTCTCTTGCTCGTGGAACCTGAACTACTTGCAAGCAAGCTCCTCCCCGATTTGTGAGAGGCCCTCGAATCCGTGGTGGGAGCATGGTTGACCCCTTTCTGCACGGTGACAGGCCTGCTGCTCCCCGGGCTGCTGCCGCCTTTCTCCTTTTTGTCATTTCTCTGCCTGATGGAAAGAAAACCAGATGGTTTTCGGGGTATCTTGTCACCCCCTGGCTTGTGGTTGCTTTCAGTCGCCCTGCGGCGATGGGGACTCCTGAGCGCTCTTGTCTTTTCCCTTTGCTCCCTCCCACCCCTTCTGCTCCTTGGGGCTGCAGCCCTGGCCCCGGGTGCTCGTTGCTGCCTTCCGGCCCCTCCGCTCACACTGCCTGCCCTGGGCAAGCTTGAGATGGGAGGTCCGGCAGCGCGATCTCTAGTTACTTCCCCAGCGGCCTTGCTCCTCGGTTCTGCTTTTGCCATTGCAACGATCATGCTGCTCTCTGAGGAGAGGCTGGTGTCGGCAGGACACTCTGAGGACTGGTTGGCAGCACCTGCCAAGGCCATTTTAATGCTCTTGGGGGACATGTTGGCAGCACCTGCAATGGCTATGCTGGTTTTGCTTCCTCCTGGATCCCGGGTGGCCGCCCAGGCTATGGCCACGCTTAGTTGTTCAAGGGCAGCGGTCTTGGTTGTCTCCGTGTTCACAGTGCCTGCGGTGCCTGCTGCCGCCCCTGCTGCTGACGCTTTGTCACGCTCTGCAGGTTTGGTGTTTGGGGTGGCCACATCCGGCATGGCGGTGAATCTGCGGGAGTCCTGCTGGATTCCCTCCCCGCCAGCAAAAGCTGCAGAGGTGGCCTCGGAGACCACGTGCAGGCTTCTGATGCTGATCTGGTCCTGCTCCTCCTTCCCTGGGAGACCGGCCACTGCCTGGCTGGTCCCGTCCTCATCCTCAAACGCAGGCACGCATGTCACATCCCTGGCAGGGGCGGCATAGATACTGCAGTTACTGTCCACTGGTGATCGCAGGAGGTAAACAAGGTTTTCCCAACAGGCAAAGAGGTCTTCCCGAGCACCCAGCGGGGGACACAGCTGCAGGTAGCAGGAGCGGCCCGTGGGGAACTTCAGGCGCAGCTGTTTTTTCTCACGGTCATGAATGGAGATGCGCACAAACTTCAAAGGAAGGAGCCTGGTGAGCTCTAAGGCCTTAGCAGCCCCGCGGCTTTTCCCCTGGCTGGCTTTGCTGCGCCCTGCAGGCTCTTCACAGCTGCTGGCCGGGCGGGCCAGCAGCATGACGTCCGGTAGTGGGAGGATGGGGCTGGTGGATGCGATGCCTACGGTCACCACGCGGACCTGGTTGTGCACGTCGATCACTTCTCCCCTTTTCGTGATCTGGATAAAGTCGCCCTCAAATATCTGCGCGTGCTTGAAAATGTCGTATTCTCCCCTGTGCAGCTGTCGCTGCAGTTTCCCTGTGGCGGTATTGAACATGCCCACGCTGCAGCCTCGCGGGGCCGTGCGCTGTGGTACCCGAGGCTCGCGCTGCACGGCCCTGCTTTATCGCCGCGAGCGGTGCTGGCAAGGCGGGCCCCTGGGTCTCGCCTTGCTTGGCCTCGCAGGCAGAAGCAGGAGCAGCGATGTGCCCTGTCACAGAGCTGGCTCCCAGGCAGGACTTTCAACCCCACCTCCCCGCACACGGTCCCCTTTGCCTCCCAGCCTCCCAGAGGCAGGGGTGGGGATGGGGCGCAGATGACTACTGCTGTGGGGGTGCTGTGGGGGTGTCCGGGCCCCAGGCTGAACCTCTGCAAGGACGTGGAGAGGTAGAGTGGGACTCACTCAGCCTCACCTCACGTCCACCTCTGAGTTTTTATTTCCCCGAGAGGCTGTGCACTCCACTCTCGGCCCAACCCCCCTGGGCAGCCATATTTATCCTCTGCTGCCCTTTGTGACCCGCCCCTGTCACATGCCCCTTTGTTCTCATCCCCCAGCCACCCCCTCAGGGCAGGGCCACCGTCATTTCCCAAGACCTCCGTTGCCCCCCCGCAGAGGACAGGCCCACCCTGCCAGGACTCAGGTGGGTTCCAGAATAAAAATTGGATAAAATCGGTAGGAATGGAAGAGGATGGGATAAATTGGAACCATTTGAGCTCAAAGTTTAATTTTATCAAGTAACCCAGAATTGGCAGTCTTGGTCCCTAGCCCATCGTTTCATAAAATCTCAGTAAATGTTGATGACAATGACCTTTAATAATAACATTAAAAATTGCTTCCCCTGGGAACCACGCTATGTTCTCCCCACAGGATCGTGAGAATCCACTGAGTCGGTCACTTGCTACTGTCCCTCTTTTGCAGGTGAAGAAACTGAGGTTGAATCACCTGCCTAAATTTACACAGCTCACGGCAGCGTAGGCAGTATTTGAAGCCAGGTCTAGCTAATTCTAAAGTCTTTTTTTCGGAACCATTAAGTGCTTTGCCTCACGAAGGAAGCCTGGCTGACCAAATGTTTTCAAACTGGACTGATTTAACTACCCCAAAAAGACAATATCAGAAATTGCATAATCAATTCTATGCATGTGTGTACCTTATGGAGAAAATATAAGACAGTGGCTGGGCCGAGAATTAAATTATCCAGGGGGCCACCTTAGTTCCTTCCCTACATTATACTTATGCAAACGGCCTGCGTCAGCTTCATTCCCAGGAGCCTGCCAGGACCTCTACAGAGCCCCCTGCCTTATTGCCACATCCACAGAGTCAGTTACAGAATGAGTGATTTCTAAATTGTTACTTCAAAGTTCAGAGAAAGACCCCTGTTTCCAGCCCTCTTTGCTCCCACCTTGGTGATTCGTTCCTTGAGGAGAGAAGCTATATTTCTGTTCAGATATCCCTGTCCATCAACAGATGAGTAGACACACACAATTTGGTTTATTAATTCAGTGGAATAATATTCAGCCATAAAAAGGAATGAGCTAATGATACATGCTACAATGTATATGAAGCTTGAAAACATTTTGCTCAGTGAAAGAAGCCAGATATAAAAGGCCACATATTGTATGATTCCATTTATATGAAGTATAAATGTCCAGGGGAAGTAAATCCATAGAGACAAATATTAGATTACTGGATGCCTAGGACCGGAGGAGGGAGGGGAGAACGCAGCGTGGCTAAGAGATACAGGATTTCCTTTTGGGGTGATGAAAAATCCTGGAACTAGTGGTGCTGGTCACGCAACATTGTGAGTGTACTGAATGCCACTGAATTGCACACTCTAAAATGGTTACAATGGTAAATTTTTACGTTATGTGTATTGTAATCACACACCCACACATACGCACGCACATGCGCGCACACACCTGCTCAGAACCCTGAGAGTTAAAAAGAGTAGGCTTCAGCTTCAGAAAGGTCTCTGTGTGAAATGAGGATCATAACAGTCGTGGGGAGGATTAAACGAGATCATGCATGTAAAGTGCTGAGCCTGTTGTCTCAATAAATGTTAGTTCTTACCAGCACTAGTCCTCAACTGGCCTTTGAGCCTCAGTGTGAATTCTTTCCTGAAGGCAGATTTGATTAGAGAAGCTCCTGGGGTCAGAGCCACCGCAAGAAGACAGAAGGACGCTCAGTGGGCAAACCTGGCCTCCTGCGAGGTTTTACCTCAGGCAGCTCCAAGGACATCACTGTCCGTTCCACAGGGAAGCTGCTTGAACACAACCGAATACTATGGGGTGGAGAAGAGAAGAGAAAGCTTGGTTTGGGTTTGGGTTTCAAGGGTTTGTTAAAAGCCCATGAGGAGAAATTAGGATAAAGATGAAACATAGTCAGCATGTTAGCTCTTGGCAGACCATGAAAGCTTCAATTCCAGACCCTTGTCCAGAACCAGTCAAAGCCCTTTATTCCAAAACAGGCATCAGGTGGATCTCAGGGAAAGGCGAGGGGGCCGGATGAGGGCCGGAGAGAGGAGGGAGGGTGGGCGTCCCTCGACCTGGAGGTGTGACATCACCTCAGAGACAGCCCAGTGAAAAGACGTGGTCATTCTGGCGGAGGTCCCATCTGAGTTTAGTCTCCCAGACCCCCGCCCCCAACCTTCTGTCTCCGTCATCAAATGTGAAACAAGATGAACTAGATGACTTGATGGTCAATATAGAGTCATCCCGGGGTTTTTTTTTTTAATTGAAGTATCAAAATATAAACTTAGCTACAAAAAACAGAACTATTTTTAATGCATTTGTTAAAAGAACTTAGTTTCATTAACCACATACAGCACATTTCTCAGATCAACTTTTCCTGCCATAGCCACCAACTCTTTCCTTCCTCATTTCCATTGTCCATGGCAGCTCAAAAAGCGTCTTGAGTTTCATAACATTGGTGGCACCTACACCCACAACCACAGGGTAAATGCAAGGAATTTTTGCCTCCTCCACCAGGATACGGAAGAGTATCTCCTAAAACAAGGGTGAATGGGACTTCCACCAGCTGGACTTTTACAGATTAGTGACTACCCCTGATGCGTAGTTAAAGCAGCAACCTGTGTCACAGGTGCCAGTTTAAAGGAACCATACAGGAGTTCAAAGGGGCAGCCACCATGACTGTGCATGAATCTTACCATTTAACGAAGCCAACATCTCTGCGAAGCATCGGTAGCAGAGTAGCCTGTGTGTCATGTGTGCCCAGGCCAAGAGCAAAGGAGCCTGGTTCTGTTCCAGAGCTAAGGAATCATATGCCCTGGAGATTCCAGAAAATTGGGCGGAATACTTTTCTTTGAATTAGCACACCTATCCCATCTAAAATTACTCTCCGTTTCTTCTTCCCCAACCTCCCCTCATTTTTTCCCCTGATGTTTGACATACATACTTGCAACAATAAGACACACATTTAAGCACTATAATGAATGTAACTCAACTGAATACTTCAACAGAAGTTCTGTTGCTTAATGTAAGGCGTCCCTGGCCCAAGTTGAACAACAGGTATACGTTTTAAGCTTTTATACATTCAGAGAAACTGAGGGTTGAGGTATTTAGCAATTCAGATTTTTATATCAGAATTGTATCTTCACACCAAGCAGCTGGTCTAAGGGATATGCTTGGTACTGTGTTCCAGGGTTCGATGCCACAGACTAAGGAACAGGGTCAAAAGTCAACTACCTCAGCTAGTGGCACCGCAAAGAGTAAAGGGGCACTTGGAGAATATTTAAGGCTAAATAACCCTCCCCCCTTCCCACGTAGAGGAAAGGGACTGGAGAATGACTAGATTTCAACAACCAACCGATTTAAAAGAACAGAAACCGGCACAACACTGAAGTTTACTGCATCTTTGTTTCAATATTTATTATATTGACAGGTTAAGAATACTAGGATAAATAAGTCATATTTTCTTTTACAGAAAATTGTAATGATACTATTGAGTAGGATTAAACACTCTGAGAATTTCACAGAAACATCAGAATTGAAACAGACCAGAGTCCATGTGGCCAGTGTGAATGACCTCTCACAGCTGTAAAAGCTCTGGGCCAGATTTCTACAAACACCTGCATGACAAAAACAATGCCATTAACATCCAATAATGCTAAAGCCTAGGCATCACCTAGCTTCAAACAGGCCTCCACTGAATGTGGTTTTCAACTGCAAGAAAAGGAAAATGGAATATTCTCTGGCTCTTATGGCCTAGAAATAACTCCTGACTTAAGTCACTGAGCAGAGTCCTAACCCTTTGGCAGGTGGACTTTCTGCTTCCTTCCAGTGACAGAGGACTTGCTGCAGTCGTGCCTGTGAATTTTGCATTAATGTCTGGGTGCCAAGGGAAAAGAAGCCTCCTCTGTTGGCACAGAACGGCGCTGCTGGCTCGCAAAATTCTATTCTCCTGTGGCTGACAAGCTCTTCTGGCCTCCCGAACATTTTGTAAGACACTGTGTGTGGTGATAGCCCCTCAAACTCTCAGAAATCAGATCCGAGGAAAGGAACGAAAAAAAATCACACCAGCGTTGTCAGAACAAACATCAGGAGAGCACAATGCCTAGTTATGAAACAAATGCCTTGCACACAGTAATTCCTGTACAGTACAGCATATTTGCAAGAAGCACAACCCTGGCCATTGTACAACTTCGCTCAATGCCATTCTCACTCCATGTCCCCTACAAGAGACTGTCGCAGTGGCCATGGAGTTGGTGGCCCCACCCCACCCCACCCACTCAAAGGTACAGACACTTCTTCTGCAGGAATCCTAATGGTGGGAGTTCTGGTTTTGTAGAATCCAGATGAAAGGTGGGCACGATGCTAACCAGGGGCCATCTGGAGAATCCAAGAATGGCTGGTATGTTAAGGCCTAAATCCTGGAGTTGAGGCAAAAAAAATGCCCTTGCTCTGGTCCAAAGTCCGCTCTGGGGCGGAGTGGAGAGGCCCCGCTGAGACACGGAGCCCTCCTGCCTCCATGGTTCTTTGCTGCTGGGATTCGAGAGGTGCAGAGAAGTCAGATCTCCAATGGCTGCAGGGTTTAGGATGTAGAAGGAGGGTTTGATGAGGAGTCCCCAGTTGCCCCCATAACTACAGCTGCTTAGCTCTGCAATGTTCCTTCTTTTATCTGTTGGATAAAAAGGTTTCTCTCATCTTCTGGAGTCCGCCCATTCTGAGCCCGGACAATACACGTGGGTCGATGGAGGTTGAGCATGTATATCAAATGCTGCTTCTCATTCTTGAGCTCCTCGATTTGGGCCTTCAGTTCAGCATTCACACTCTCCAGCTTCTCTGACTCCTGGGGGAGAAGCAACACAGTCAGTAAGAATGGAGCCAAGTTCTAGCAACGAGGGGATGGCCAGGGTGTGGCCTCTGGGTGGCAGGGGTAGCACCTGGGACACGTGGCGGCCCATCAAGCTGGAAATGGCCTGCGGAGCCAATGCCATTGTCTTCCTGCTACAGTGGTGCCCCACAAAGCCAGGGCAGCAGCCTTAGCTTTGGGTTGGTTGGGTGGCAGGGGTAGCACGGGAAGTGGCGGCCCTCAAGCGGAGGCCTGCGGAGCCAATGCCATTGTCTTCCTGCTACAGTGGTGCCCCACAAAGCCAGGGCAGCAGCCTTAGCTTTGGGAGAATGCAGACCCTGGAGTAGCCTTTGAACTTAGAGGCTTCTTCAGAGATGCCCTTGAGTTTCCACTAAGGTTGAAGCAGGTTGTGACTCTAATAGTAATGAAGCTGCAGTAGAACCAATGGCTCAGAGATCTCCTTTGCAGGAGGCCAACAGTCCATGTGTGAGTCTTCTGGACCCACAAGGACCTTTGGGGCTGGGGCAACAGCTACACTCACGGTGCTTCGTCTTTTGTGAGTTGCTAATCTCACTGAGAAGCTCACCTCCCCATAAAGAATGCACATGGCTACACACAAAATGTCTTAATTTTCACTGAGTCCCTAAAGCAATCAACAGAGCCCTTGAGGACCTGTAGAATCTGGGTGAGACTCTGCCCTGGCCTGCGCACTCTAGGGCGGAGGGACAGGACCACTGGAAAGACCGCACCATGAGCTGCCCGCCTGCCGCAGACGCGTCCCCTTTAGGAAGGGGAGCCGGCTGGACGCAGCCAGGAGCTAAGCCTCCTGGGTGAGCCAAGGAGAAGGGCTGCAGAATTAAGAACAGGAACACCAAGAAAGTTTAACCACTGCTTGAGGATTAAGGAAATAACTTTTTGAAGAGATTAATTAAAGGCGTTTCATAGTGAGCCAAACGAGAGCTGGCAGCTTCCTTTTCTCAGGCAAACAGGCAAGTGAAGCCTCTTTAACTGGGCTGACATATCCTGCAGCCGGGAAGCTGCCGGACATGTAGGGACTGGCCGCGGCTGCTGTGGGGTTTTTACCTCACACACCTGCTTTTATACATCCAGAGTCACATTCACTATACTAACAGCTTTGTTAGCTCCTCCTTCTGCCACAGGCATTTCTGCTACCAGCTACAAGGCCTTTTGTGGGAAAACACGTCTGGGGAGGGGTCTTTTTAACTCCCCTTCTGACAGCGACATGAGGTCCATGGGCAAGAGGGCCGGGAGAGGTGAGAAGACACTCACTTTCTGCAGACACTCTGTCTTCTCCTTCTTCTTGTTTCGGCACTTGGCAGCTGCAATCTTATTTCTTTCCCGTCGCCTCTTTTTTCTTTCATCTTCTTCAGGGGTTACCTATAAAATCCAAGAGGCACCTGCTTAATGGGAGGCAAGAAATGAGACCCACCTCAAATACACTGCCTTTGGTGGGCAGCAAACACGGGCTGGCCAGGGCCGTGGGAATGCTAAAGGGCCCAGCAAGAGGACAGCCCTAGGCTTTTACATGGAGCCTCACTGCACACATACACCCTTAAGAGTGAATAATAAAAACCAAAGAGCTGTTAGTTAAAATTATATTGGCACTACTGGTAAATTAAAACTTAGCTTATTTAAAAAATGTATTTGGACCTTAAAATAAGTTTGATACTCAAATCGATACCTATTGGTAATAACAGCAACCGTTTAAAACTGGAAACAGATTCTGTTTGGTAAATGTGTCCTTTCCCCTAGAACCATGAATGACCCCAACGGCCTAGCCGCCCTGTCCCCGTTTCTTCGATTCAAGACCCAAGGGCAGCTCATTCGTCTCTAGCTTCACCAGGAGCATCAGGGCACCTCCTTCCTGAATTCAGGAGAAGCCCGTGGAGCTCTTTGGAGAAGAGGAACCCAAGCTCATCCCCAACCAAAGTGGCATTATCAGCCCCCGGCTCAGTGCCACCAATGGGTGGTACACTAGAACTGTCCATTGATTTATCCTTCAATTAAATACTGATCTTATCCCCTGTGCTTCACTCTGAGCCAGCCCTGGGGCTCCTCGGAGAATAAAACCCTATCCCGTTGTAGCCTCTGGTCCTCTGGAAGTTCACTCGGATCCTGACTTTGAGGACTGATGAGGAATCAGCCAAGTCCGGCTGCTGGGCCTGGCTTAGAGACCCAGCGTCCAGCTGCGGGTGAGGCTGTTGGCTGAGTGGGCAGTGGTGTAGGCTGCTAATGTCAGGCCTCGTCATGTCACTTGTCACTGCTCTGGACAGTGGGAAAGAGTGTGTGAGCCACGCCTCAAACCAAAGAGTTCCTGCATGCCATAATCACTTCACATATGACTTATTGCTAGTCACTTGGATTAGGTGGTACTGACTTTGTCTGGACTGAGATGGAAGGTATGCAGTTTAGAGAAACAAAGCCCAAGGGGGAAGCACAGTGAGAGAAATCCCACCTCTTACATCCCGGGTCCCAGACCCACACAGGCAGACATTTGGGTTTAGACTAAATTGCCTTTGAATCCCAGCTTTATTAGCTATTAGCCGTGAGACCTTGGGTAAGTTACCATGTTCTTCTGAGCCTCAGTCTCCTCATTTGTAAAATGGGATCATAATTTGACCTACCTAATAAGGTTAAGATGAGGTTCAAATAAGTTAATAAATGTAAATGCTTTGCACAGTGTTTAGCTCACAGTCAGCACTATGTCAGCTTTAGTTTTTAATCTCACCATCTGTGTCTTCATCAACAACTCAGTGATTCTGGTATTTCCTTTGACATTTTGACATTTCCTACAGACAGTTTTAGATAGATGGGAGAAGATTCAGGGTTTTCTCATGTGAGGAAGTACTTGAAAGTAGAGCAAATCTCAAATTCACATACTGTGAGAGATGGAAAGGCCTTTCTAGAGGCCATTTAGTTCAGCCACATCAGTTTATTAATGTGGAAATGCGGAATTCAACCAACCAACAAGTGCTGATCTGTTGATACAGTAACTGCCTAGGGAGGCTCAGGGACCACCAGCTCGGGGTCCGCAGACCAGCAGGCTACAAAGCCCTGATGCAGCCCAGGCCTTTTGTCTCTCGTCCTGCGTCCCCTGCCGGTCACAGCTGAGTGACTGAGATCTGGAGAACAGACCCATGCTGCCCAAACGCACAGACAAGATGTCTGTGGGTTTCACAGGCTCAGTGTCTTATTTAAGTTGAGAATTACAGCAGCCAAGGAGACCAGAGTATTCAAATAGGTTACTTGGGAAGTGCATTCTCTTCCCAATAGGGAAATCTACTTGTTAAACGAACCTAAGGTCAGAAGATCACTTGATGAACACAGGATCGAAGATGGGTTGGGTTGCTTTAAGGAGTTTTTGCACAAGGCAGGCTACCTACTACTCCCTCTGGAGAACCCTAAAAATATCCTTCCAAAATGCTCTCCTTCCTTCTATGATGATCCTACTACTTCCATTCCATCCTGGTATCTCAAGGTGTCTAATTATAAAATTAAAACAAATATTCCCTTGAGTATCCCATTATCCAACCTGCACTGTCCTCTGTTGTGCTGGGTACTGATGACATTCCCTCAGGTTAGGTAGGGCCCAGCCAATGCCCCTAATGACAACATCATTCAGTAGCCCCTGTACCAGTCACTGAACTATCAGCCAGGTCCTCTACTAGACCCTTAAAAACATGTCATTTTATTAACCCTTACGTAGAATCAGAAAGCCCTTATATAGAATCACTGCCCCTTTTATAGAATCATAAAGATTCTTAACCAACTTCCTTTAAAACTCAGTTCCTTTTTGGCCAGTTCCACTACTCCTTGTCCAAAGGCATGTTCAAGTCAGTGGTGCCCAAAACACTCCCATCTTGTGCCCATGGGGAGGAGCCAACAAAACGTACAGGACCTCAGCTCTGAGTCTTCCAGCTGCCACACACAACATCACCAGCAGCCACTTCGCAGACTTCTCACCATGTCTGTTACTCCAAGTGTCTTAAAAAAGGTCACCGAGTGGAAAGCAGTGCAGATGTCAGAGACAGAAGTGAACTTGAAACAGAACTTGGGCTAAGGCTGTGAGCATCACACACAGCTGTAAGCACAGCTTGCTGGGTCCTTACACCATAGTCTGGCCACCTGGGTCTTTGCAGTAATGAAAATAAACACCACACTTGGTGCTTCTTCAGAGTGACTAGACACAAAAGGTGATCTCATACAGGCTCATGTCTTTAAATAACACCCATATGCCGATGGCTTCCAACTCTACATCTCTAGCCCTGATTCTCTTCTGACCTCCCAACCCACATATCCAGCTCCTCCTCCGCCGGGGCTCCCAATAGGATGGACTTGTGTCCTTGTCCCACCCGCCCTCTGACAGTCCCTAGCTTAGCAGCAAACAGGTGCGCCACCCTTACAGCTGGTCAGGCCAGAAGTCGTGGAGCCATCCTTGAGCCCTCCACTCGGAGCCACAGGCCACGCCCAATGTGTCCGTAAACCTGCTTCCCCTTCCCGGCAGACCCAGGAGCCAACCTCTTCTCCCTACCTCACGGTTTCCACCCTAATCTGATCCCCCTTTGCTCACCCGGATTACTGTGACCTCTCATTTCCGGGTTCTGTTTCTACTCTTGCCCCTACTGCCCATTCTCAACATGGCAGTCAGGGATCATTTAAAAACTATAGGTTGGGCCATGTCCCTCCACTGCTCAGAAACTCTCCAGGGGCATCCCTTCTCAGATCTGAGTAAGTGACCGTGTCTTTACAATAGTCTCAAAGCCCCAGTATAGTCTGCCCCACCCATCACCTCAGCTCCTACCTTGGTCCCCACCCCTCACTTTGCTACTGCTCTTGTCCACTAAGCACAGCCCCCCTCAGGGCCCTTCCTCTTGCTCTTTTAGCCGATACCCAGATAGCCCCTCCCTCTCCTCCTTAGAGTCTCTGCTCAGGAGCCATTCTATCAGTGAAGCCTCCCTGATGTCCTGACTTAAAACAGCTCCCCACCTCCACCACGCCCTCAGTCCCCCTTTGCTGCTTGAGTCTTCTCCTTTGCCCCGTCTCTCATATTATGTATTTACTTCTGTAGTGTATTATCTGTCTCCTGCCAGGAAGCTCCCTGAGGGCAGTGGTTTGTTTTATTCACGCTGCAGCGCCCTGCCTAGAGCATGTCTGGCATACGGCAGGTGTGCAGGCGTATGATAAATGCACACCTGTGGCTGAAAGAACAGACACCTGTGCAGAACCTACCTGGGCTTTCGTGACTGACATCTCGAGAGGTTTGCTGCTGACAGTGACCGACTCCAGTGCAGAGGACATCCGGTGGCAGAGGTGCTTGTTCTGGATGGCGAACCTCAGCTCTTCCTTGACAAAGGGTGTCAGGTTAGCAAAATCCTCAAACACCAGTGACCCAGGAGGGGACAGGCAGGGGACGATGGCAGAGGCACTGACTTCCGAGGCAGAGACCTGGCCTGGGTGTTGAAGCATCATTTTGCTGAAAGACACATCGAAACCCAAACTACTTCAGGGACTGGGGGCATGGGACCAAGTCCCCCCACACCTGCGACCTCCAACCCAAGCCCCACCCCCAGGGAAAGTCCCATAAGCCCTCCGGCTTCTGTTTTGTTTTCATGTCAGGCCCTGCTCAGCTTGCGTAAAACAGGTTCTTAGAATACACAGCTCAGTGAGGTGGATAAAATGCCCAACTGAAGTTATCAGGGGTGGCATTTCAGGCCATTCTGAATTCTTAAAAGCATTAGTTTGGGCTGGTGTGCATATATGCAAATGTAGCCTCAAACAGAACTGAAAGAGGAAGAGCATTAAAAACAAAAAGTGAAACTACTCTGTAAACCCATTTCCAGTCTCTTTCTGAAAAAAGAAACTTGGCATCTCAAATCAAGCTGAAGTTGTCATTAAGTGGAACTAAAGCAAGCCTTGGGGGACCCTTGAATTTAGCAACTATATCTCTGATGCTTCTCCCTGAGGAAGTTGAATCCAAGTAAGCGAGAAGGAGGATGGTAACTGCGGCAGGTGTGTTTCTTCGAGCTGTCCTTGGCAGGGGCTGGGAGCTAGGGGTTCAGATCACAAGGGACCAGTAGTCCCTTTGTAAAGGTAAGTGTGGTGCATCAAAGAGCTCAGAGTAAAGAAAAGTGAGGGGCTAAGAGTTTGGACTGCATCTAGAGGTCCTGTCCAGCCCTGTGGTGTCGGAGAGGTTTGGTCTGGGGGGCAAAAGGGGCCTGGCACTGGCTCTGACACTAAGGAGCAGCGCGGGCCGAGCGTTCGGAGGCAGCCTTCCCCTGGCAAACGGCTGGGCGCTCCTGCGGCACAGGCGTGGAGCCTCTGCTGTCGCTCTCCCCGGGGCCTGGCACAGTGCCCGGCACCAAGGCTGCCCGACTAAACACATAAAGTTGGGAAGAGGCGGGCAAATCAAATGGCTCCTGAGGCCCTGTCTACCTTTGTCACTTTGTAGCCCAGGGAACCCGAGCTGACAATAGGAAGATAAAGCGTAGAAGCTTTGATAGTTTCATGGTCCCAACTTGGAGCAGCCCCCATACACCTCCCCCCGCCATATACTTCCTCCAGCAGTGGCTGTCCCCTCATCCAGACCGTCAGTGCTCCAGGGGCGATGGGTGTAGGGATTGTCTAGCTAGGGGATCCCCGGGAGCATCCTCAATCTGGGGACCTGTGGTCATTAAGCCAAGTCCAGCCAGAGAGGAAGCCCGCCAGCAAATTGCTAACATGCAACGAGGGCCGCCTTCACACCAGAAACCTTCCGTGCTTATCTCATTGAACCCCCATGAGAAGCCAGTGAGCCAGGTCCCAGCCCCATTTCATAGATGGAGTAACTGAGGTTTATGCAAGCTAAACAACTTGTCTGAAGTCATAGTTAGTGGGAGGCAGCATCAGGATTTGGAATTAGGTTTGACTCCACAACTTACGCCCTTAATTTATAGAATATAGAATATTATTCCACACTGCAAACACAAACAAAAAACCAGAGCAGATTTTTTCTTGGGGGTGGGACAGGCATAGGGGCTGTGGGAGCCCTGGAACTGAAGTGATGAAGGAAAGAGCCACCGGGAAAACTTGAACCTTTGGTAATTAATTGCTGCTCTTTCCACATTGGGGTGTATACTCAGGCTGCTGCCCGCATTTTGGAGTATGTATAAGTGGGTCTTTTATCCACAAAATTCCCAGACTGGGGTCAGAAGATCAAGATTTAAGACTCACTTACTCATATGTCATCATTATACCTCCCCTGCCTGCCTTCTCCTCTGTAAAATAATAATACATGAATATGCCGTGGAAACATAATGCAACCAGGAGGTATGCTCTTGCTGGGCCTCCCAGGGATCTCTCCAGCACAGGGCTGGCTCTCTGACAGACGCTCTGTGAGGTCCATGTGGGAGGGTGGCTGGTCACTCTCTTTGATCTCAAACACCTCTGAATAGAACACCCTGACCTCTAACTCCCCCTTAAGATCCGAGATACACTGTTGGAGGCAAGAATTCCAGGCCAACAAATGCCACCGTTGACTATTGAAAGAAACCCAAGAAATGTATGTTAACTCTCTCCCTAAAGCCCTGTGTCATGAGTCAGAGCCGATGTTCTACCAGTTTAATCCTATAATCTTAGGATGCTGGGAGGGTACTTGTCTCTGGCAGGTGATAAACTCTGTGAAACCGGCCTTCTGAGGCCAGAGGCTTAAGTTTCTCCCATGCATTCATGTTGTCCCTCCCTTTCCAACTTTACGAAAAAAAGCCCCAGTAGTTCAGGGATGGAATTCAAAGCTACCCCTGGGCTCGCCTTTGTTCAGAAGCCTAGATGGCTGCCTCCCTTCTACATGGGTAGTTTGAATTCCATGGCAGTTGAGTGTAGTTCCATTTTATCCAACTAAGTTTATTAATGAGCTCTCAAGGCTTGAGGTCTGCTGTTTGGGATTTTTTTTCCCTTCTTAGTGTAAAGTCAGCAGTCGTGATGAAAGAAAGTGAAGGATGTCAGTGCTATGGAATGTCTTTATGAAAAGATTGGGAGGGCTTCCTTGGGGCTAGAAACGAGCTGTAAAATGTTAAAAGCTGTCCAGAAAGTAAAGCAGTTCTATCTGTAGAGATCTGGACTTTCTCTGCACGTGACTAAAGCTTAGTTTTTAGTTTCTTGAGATACTTTCTAGTGACTTCTTTACTCAGTTCTCTTATGGTATGATTCAGCCCAGACTCAGGCTATGCCCCTACAAGAAAAATGAAGTTAAATCTTCAGACATTCCCCCCACCCCCAGTAAGTTTAGACCCTCTAACAGCCCCTTCATTGAAGAAAAAAAAAATGAGGATTTTTCTGACTTTCTACATTGATCTTAAAATTGTCCAGACTTGCTACAAAACACCTGCGTTTTGCTTCTGCTTTATTATCTCTGATCAGAAATAATGTCATATCATTGGCAGTTTCAACATTTTCAAGAAAGTGAAACTTATGTATTTCTTTAACTGGAAATTCAGCTCCTAGATTTTATTTCCTAGTAGCTACAAACAACTGTGTTGAATTTTCAATTTTACTTTTTATCTCTTTCCACCGACCTCTGCTCATAAAAGAGTCAGAAGCCATCATCAGTCTTTGGCTAACTTCCTACCTTGCTCGGTCCTCCTGCCAGCCCCCTTGAAGGCTGGAGGTGAGGCTGGCCTCCAGGACCAGATGCTTCCAGGCCTGCTGCCACCGCTCACAAGCCCACCGAGAAGCCACTCGCACTCCCAGGGCCTCAGTCTCCTCATCTGTGAGATGAGACCGATACCACCTGCCCTCGTGCCCTCACAGAGCCGTCAGGAAGATCACACGAGATTCAGGAAGGTGAGTTTACACACGCGCTGGATACCCAGTACTTCTGTGATCCACTTTCCCCATCTCAGCGGGAACTCCATGCTGTTGTCAATCAATGCAGCCTAGTCCCATTCAGCAGAAATCAGCTGGAGCCCTCAAGATATTCCAGTCAGTCACAGCTTCTCCTGTACTTTGACTGACCCCCCGCTTCCTGTCACACCAGGCCAATTCTACCCCCTTATTTCCCAGCAGCAGTTTGCTTCCACTGGGTTTTATGTACTTAAGAAATAACTAGTTCTCTCACTCGTGAAACCATTTCTGGTTTTCTGCGGTGTCCTGGCTCTGCACTTCCTCCTCCCCAGTATGGGGACCCTTGGAGTCACTGACCCTGCTCCATGCACAGCCAATTTGAAAACGGAAGAATCAGGGACTCTATCTAATGGGATGGAACACTCAATATGAGAGGCATCTAGGTCAGGTCTTCATTTGTAAACTGAGTAAAACGAGGTCTAGAAGAATGAAGTGACTTGCCCACGGCCATGAAGCTGGTGAGAGGACCAGTGCAGGCCAAGTTGCTGACCACCCACCCACTGCTCATTTTGTTCCATCACCAACAGAGTTTCAAGCAACAAGGCAACCGGAGAACGCAGCCACTGGCCAGGCAGCTGAGGGGTCAGTGTGGTCAAATAACCTGGTAGCCACCGCAGAGAAGGCTTTGACAGGACTAGACAGGGAGGGAGTGCAGAAGGAAGAGAACGGAGATAAACACCTAACAGGGAGGGAGAGAGAGAGAGGGCGGGGTTAAGAGAGCAAGGATCCAAAGGCTGAGGGAGCTGCCACAGGTGCTGGGTGCTGGACCTTATCCACACTGTGGGCCTGGAGGGCTCCCTGCCACACTATCTCTGACCCCAGCCAGGCCGCAACAACTGCAAAACCCACCCCCGCTCCAGCCTTGGTATGGAATCTCCTCAAAGCAGAGCCTTATGTTGTAGCAATATTCTATAACAAATGCTAAATGCAAAACAAGGGGATAGTAATATCGATTTCACCTTCATTTACAGTTGGGGAGACAGAAGCCCCAAACAGAGGTGACTGTTGTCCACACTGAGTAGGGGCATTGGGAGAGAGCGTGGCAGGCAGACCCTCAAGTCCACGGTTTGGATGAGATATAGCACCTGAGGCCGCTGCTGGAGCCTCCAAATTCTTCCTGTCTTAACCCCACCCTTCTGCCTGGCTTTTGGTCCTTTGGTCCTTTCTACATAGCCCCCCCCCCCCCGCCACTACACGCGCTCCCCCCTATCAAGGCTTTAGCAACTCCTTTATTTGTAAGGTAGCATCTGTGATCTAGGTAATGAAATTAGAGAAAAGAAAGCGATTAGAAAGTAAGTAGATGAAAGTGTGGGGGTGGGAGGAGCAGAGGAGAGCCACTTCAAATGGGAAGAAAGTTGGAAAGGGAAGAGATGGAGTCTCCTTTCCCCCTCTGCCTCAGAGGCTGCCCGGTGACATCAGACAGAGACCCCCCCTCATTCAAGTCATTCAAGGCCCCGCACTGGCCCTCTTCCTCTCAGTTACACCACTCTGGAATCTGAAAATCTTCTGGCCAGGAAGAGCATTAACGGTTATTTGGCCAGCCACCACCTGTGCTCGCATACAGGCAGAGGGGCCAGCATTGCATATATGCCCGTATCTCCCTGCTGGGGATACTGAGGCTCAAGGTCATCCAGTGCAGTATAAGCTCTCCTCGCGGTCCCGGCCACCGGACCACAAAGCCATCCTCTCAATTATCTGAACATCTGGCTTCGCACCCTCGCTTCCCTCATGGTTGGTCTCCAGGAACGACAAGTAGAGAAATCCGCGAACCTGCCAAAGGAAGAGCCGGAGCCACAGGTAGGAGAGAAAAGCAAAGCGTAAGAGACTTGGGACAGGAAGTCTCAGGCCCAGGAGCCCGACACCAGCTCGTGCCGGGAGCCCTCTCCGTCTTCCGCCGCAGGACAGGACACCAGCGCTCGCCACCTCTAAACGTATCTCAACTAACTTGCTCGCGGTTCCCTGCGCTCTCGGGTGCGCAGGGCGACTCCCAGCGACCGCACCCGCAACCCCGGTTCGCGCGTCCGTCCGGTCACCATTCATTCCGTTCGGCCCGGGGGCAGGGGCAGCACTTCCGTGAGCCCCCGGCTTCGGTGCCCCTCTGCGGACCTCGGAAAGGCTGGGCTCGGAGGGCCAGTTTCCCCGCACCAAGCGAAGGATGGAGCGGACAGTGAGAGGGAGAGCCTGGGCCACCCCAGCGAAACCCACCTCCCTACGCCGGCTCCCAGCGGGGTGAGAAAATACCAAGGGCGGGGAAGAGCAGTGTTCCCAGCCTGAATGGGAAGCAGGAGCCCACCTCTCCGTCACCAGGAAACTTTCGCGCCCCCAAGTCAAAAGAGAAAGTTATTGGCGAGAAACTTTCTGAAGCGCTGAGTAGCAGCGGTGGCTGGGAAAAGTTCAGCCGGAGTTCTTTAGAAGCCGGAGGCTGGGGACGCAGGTCGGGGGTGGGTCCAGGGGTCCCGGGATTGGTTACTATAGGGGCGCACAGGGAATGAAAGCGAGCTACCCTCGCCGCGCTCGTTCACTTGGCTTCCAAGCGCTCACCTCCGGTCTCCAGTCGGGGCGGCCAGGGTCCGGAGGGCGGGGGGTATCGGGGCGGGGTCGGGCTGCCTGTCGGAGGGGCTGGCGGCAGAGCACCAGGTACGCACTGCCGGCGCGCGGGCTGGCGGGTCCGCTGGGGCGGCGGCGCTGGGAGACTGCTGTGCTGTGCCCGCCTCGCTCAGTGCGACTGTGGCTGGGAGCGCGTTGCATCACCCCTTTTTATAGTCCTCTGGCTGGCGCCGCGCCCGATTACTCCAGGCTGATGTAATGCTATTAATAGCTTCCCCTGAGAACCAGCCGAACTAGGCTGGGCAAAGGGAGGGGGGGATGGAGGAGGGGCCAGCGGGGAGGTGGGGGGAGAGGTGGGGACTGGTGATGCAAGTTCGGGGAGGAGCCGGACCGCGCGCTTCCTCCCTGCCTCGCGCGCCTGGACAGAAACCTGCCCGCCCTCTCTCTCCATATCAGGATCGGAGTCGCGCGGGCTGCTTGCCAGATGTGCGTACTCGCTGCTGCGTGTTCCCGGCATGAGCCAATGGTGCCCAAGCCAGCCGCATGACTCCACCGCGTTGGCATCTCTCCCTCCGCTAGGTGGGGGGCGGGAGGGGGGGAGGTCGGGGTAGAGCTGGCGGTGGGGAGGTGGAGGGGTGGATCCTGGCCGCGGCCCAGACTAGGTGAAGCTGGGAAGCGGGCACGTCCTTTCTTTAAAATACGTGATAATTTTCCAGATCTTCGGGAAAATACCTCTTCCACAGCCAAACACCTCCTTCGCACTTAGGGGGCGGGGTAAGAACTGTAGCGTTAGCCTCCCGTGGCGGAGAGGTGCCCAAAGACACCCGCCGTGGGTGACCTCCGCGGCGGGGACCGCGAGTTTGCCGGTTAATCCCAGAGCGGGAGGCAGCGCTCTGCGGGCGCTGTGCGCTCGCAGCCCCGAGGCCCCCCACCCGAGCGCACAGGCGGAACTGCCCCGAGACAGGTTGGGAACCCGACCCCCAGGCGAGGGCGAGTGATAGGAACGTAAGTGTTAGGATTTTTTTGAACCACTACAGCGTTTGAAAGTGACAGTAAAACGAACAAGACCCTGGAAAGGCGAGAGACCTGGCGAAATCAGAGGCAACTCAGAGGAGGGTTAAGAGTGGGGTTGAAGCCTAGAGGCCAGGGAGCGGAGGACAGATGAGGTGCTTTGGTCTCCTTACTTAGGTATTTAGGAGAAAGCCATCTTCGGCTTCCACGTATTTTTCTGCGCGCAGAGCGAACTGGGCTGGGACCCGGCCGCCGGCACTGGGGACGCACTGACAGCTGCGGAAACGCGGCGGGGCAGCTGAAACCCCTTCCGCCCCCGAGCCCGGGAGGCAGGAAAGGTAGTGTCCTGCGCCTCCAGATTCGAGCTGAGGCTTCAGCAGACCTGGATTTGGACCCTAAGAATGACTTCTTGGTTCGGATTCCCCAACCTTAGCCGTCTCGGGACCTTCTCGAACCATGGACGTGTATACATGGAAGCGGATGTGGCCCTCGCTGTTTTTGAACCTGCCTGGGAGGGAGACCCGTGCACGCCGTGGGGCGTGGGGTGCAGCGTCACGGCCGCGGGGTAGAAACACGTGCTTCTATCTGCCTCTTGGGAGAGGCAATCGAAGGTGCAAGTTTGGTAATTTGGGGCAAGAACTAGAAGGGTCTCCGAGACCCGCTCTCGCTCATTCAAAGCACCACCCCGCCGCACCTGCAAGCCCTCGGCTGTTACGGTGGTGATGGGGGGAGGTCCAATCAGCCTCCCCCACCCCCCACCCCCACACAGCCACCCCAGGGTATCTGTGCCCCCTCTTTCTGCCCCTCCAATTGCCCGGAAGCCTGGGGCACAGACCCTCCGAACTGAGGGTAAAACTGAGTTTCCCGCATCCTTGTTGTTCTTCCCCACCCAGAGCCTTACCCAGAACCCCCCACCCCTACCCCGCCTCGAGATTCAGGCTCAGGGCAACGAGGAGGGCGGCCTCGGAAGGGCCCTTCGTCCCTGGCCCGTCCTGAGCCCCGGGGATCCACACAGGACCCACGTGGATGATGTTCGGGACTTGATCGGGATTCCAGCTGCGTCGTGCGGGACGCTTGGGGCGATTGTTTTGCTTTACTTTTCGCCTTGGTAACGGCCCCCCTGGCCACACCCTCCCCCCACCCCCAGGCCTACACCGCCGCGCTCCGCGCTCCACGCCCCGCACCCGCCCTCCTGCCGACGCGTCTGCTAGTAAACGCGGGGCGGGCAGGGCTGGCGGGTAAACCCCGGGAGTGCCGGCACTACCCCTGGACCAGAAGAAAGGACGTTTGTCAATTTAAAAGAAAGTTGTTAGGGATTCTCTACGTACCTATCGTATCGACTTATCTACTGCCTGAGATAAATGGCGCCATTATTAACAAGGAGATGGGGGAGGACGCGTGAAAGCTTTCCCTTCTTTTCCTCTGTGAAATACAGACGGAAGTCTCGCCAGTTTACATTTTAAACTCTGAGCCACTCATACACCCAAGACAGATTTATGGAGGTGGAGTGCTGTCCAGAAGGGGAAATTCAACTTCAGGCGTAGGGTAAACAACAGCCAGACCAGCCTGCACAAACCAGTGCTAGAGAAGCATAATTACGACCAAGCCCACACGCCCATCGGTTTATTTTTGTTACCATAGTGCCTCCCGTTCCTCTCAATAGTCTTGTTTCATTCTAATAATTCGTGGTTTTGAATCTCCACGTCCCACCCGGATAGAAATGCTGCCAGCTGTTCACAGAAGTCTGAGGCCGAGGTCCTCTGCCTTCCTTCCCTCTCAAACTCGAAAAGCCGTAAGAATCTTGACACGGAAGTCAGCCCACCCGCTTGTGAATGAAATTCGTGTCTTAGGAAAACGGAAAGGGTGGCCGCCTGCCTGCCTGCCCGCAGCCCCCCGCGGGGAACTGTGAAATGCCTGGCAAATGGCAGTGCTGGGGAAAGTAGAAAGGAAGCGACCGGAGGCTTGTGCCACCAGAGAGAGGGGTGATCAGTGTCTGCGTCCTGTGCGTCCTCAGTTTACCCTAACTTTAGTTAATGGCACCCAATGTCCCGTGTGCACCCTTCGTACCATCTAGAGGAGCGAGAACAGCTCCTCACACGAAAATGTCTCTCTACACAAAAGCAAAGAATGTCTGCGCCTCCGAGAAGGAAGCCCTGGCTTGGGTTATTTCAGGGGTTAATCCTCATTGAAGGAGGGTTCAGCAGAGATTTGAATATTGTTGAGGTTTCCTGCTGCAGAACCGCCTTGGGAACCCACATTCAGACCAGCCTTGGTATGTTTTGCTGAGTGAGATAAGAGTTGGAAACTTCATGCTGGGGCATGCGCTAAAGGAAGGAAAAAAAGTTAAAAGGGGAGGGGGTGGAACTAGGCAGCTAAAAACAGCCCACTCGTGGCAACCGAATCTAAACACCAAAACATTGCAGGGAGCCAAAAAAAAAAAAAAGTCTAGAGATATTTAAAGATTTTAGCAGTTTCCTAGTCCAGGGAACAGTTTCTTCCCTCTCCCTCCCCCACGCCATTACTCTTCTTTGAACCCCAAGATTGTGTTTGCTCACAAAGCTCTAGAGGGGCAAATTAAACACAGGTTAAAATCAGTCAGGTACTAGGAGCCTTGTCCATGTGGCTCAACCCACTTCAGAAAGCGTGTGGGGTAGATTTTTTTTCCTTCCTGTTCTCCAAAGCTCACACTTAAGCTCAGTTTGAACAGTGAGGAGTACTAACTTCAGAGTCTGCAAAATGGGCCTCTCAGGAAATGTGGGGAAACATCGCACTGTGGGCTCTGAAGTGTGGAAAGTGGCTATGTCTTCTTGGATAAGTCATTTTATATTCTGGGCTGAAGCTTTCTTAGCTGAAATCAAGCACTAATAATAGCACCTAACACCGAAATTTGTTGGAAGGGCTCACCAAGAACGGAGCACACAGCGAGTCCCTCAGTAGTCGTGTTGTGAATCAAGGAGGGCTTTCTGGGGATTCCCCTGAATTTCTCTCAGAGCCCATTCTGTCCCCTAGCCTGTGACAAACAATTGTGGATGAAGTCAAGCTATATCCAGGAATGACCATCTCCGGGGAATGGGGATAAGACTCACACAGTAAACAATGAGAGCGATCCCTGTTTTCCACCCACGGCAGCTCCAGTGCATGTCGGGGCCCCGCTCCGTGCACGGTGGAGCAATGGCCTGTGCACAGTGCCTGGAGCTGGGGGCCGGGGATTTGGGTGCTGCTCTGGTTGTGCCTTTGGCATTCTTGAGCAAGGCATTTCCCCTCTGAAGTGAGGAGCCGTGGGTCTTAAATGAAGACCTTCTGCCGGGGGTCACCCTATTAGCCCCTGGCAACTTCTCCTAAGAGAGTTAGAGGGTGAGAAGGCAGAGGATGGGGGAAGGCTTTGAATAGCACCAGCACAGACCTATTGCCATAATCTCTCTTCCCTTCCAAAAACTAGAGTGGAGGAATGTTGTCTGACTTACTCTCAAACACAACCTTGGTCCTGAAACCTCTCTCTCTTTCTGTCAACATTTCAAAACAATTTTACCGCTGGACCTTGTGCCTCCTTAGAGAAAAGAGTGTAAGAAGGCACCCCAGGCAGGAATTGCATCTTTGGGACCTTGTGTGTAACGCATCTTCAAAAGACACAGACATCCACCTTGGACCAGAGGATGAAAGCCCAGGTAACAGCCACTCTTAGTTGAGAATGGGGATCTTGGAGCCCCAGGCACCCAGGATGACGTCTCAGCGGCCAGAGTATTAGCAGGACTCAGGAGACCTGGTACCCACTGGGAGGTTTCCCTGTAGCCAACTGAGTGGCTTACGTGAATCATAGGCACTTCCCCTGGGTTCCAGTCTATAAAATAGAACTATTTAACACTGATTCTGCCCAAAGGATTGTAAACATCCATGCAGTAACAGATGTGAAAGTGATTTGAAAATAATCTTTAAAATCACACTTTTAAAAATCCTTTCAGGAGAATGTGTGTGTGTGTGTGTGTGTGTGTACAAAACCATTGTGAAAGTTTGGGAAATACGCAAGAGAAAAAAATTACCCATAATCTCAACACTATTAGCATTTTTGTAAGTTTCCTCCAGTCTTTCTTCTCATGCATATGATTTTTAAAAACACAGTTATGATTTGAGGTTTCATGCAACTTTGAAATTTGCTCTTTTG